TTCAACGCCATTCTCTAACTTTACACCCACATCCAACGACTTTTTTGAGGTTTACACCCACATCAAATAAATTTCTGGAGATTTACAACCACATCCAACTGTCTTCTGGATGTTTACACCCACCTCCAACATCATTCTGGAGGTTTACACCCACCTCCAACCTCATTCTGGAGGTTTACAACCTTATTCTACATTGTTTTAAAGGTCTACAACCACTTCCAATGTCATTCTATTTGTAGTACAAAATTTTGAAAATGATTTACTCCATTTCAGAGGTGAAAAAAATTACAACCACATCTAAGGTCATTGTGGAAGGAGGGCATCCAACTTCACTCTGAAGATTTACACTAACATGTAAATCCCTTCTGGAGGTTTACAAACACACTGGAGATCCGACTTTTAATATTTTGAAAATTTTGAGCGCATTTTTTTAATTTGATATTTTGGGTTCTCAAAGGGATAGAAAAACTCCCTATTAAAAATTATCATTATTGGCCCACGTTTAGTTATATATCTCATATAACAGTTCCTTCCGATTTTCGATATTGTGATGAATTTGGGTACATTTTCCAACCGATTATGCTGTAATTTAATATTTCGGGTTATCAAGAGGTAGAAAATCACTCTACGAAAAACAATCAAATTTGATCCACATTTAGATATAGCCTCCATATAATCATACCTTCCGATTTTCGATATTTATAGGAATTTGGTTAAATTTTCCAATCGAATTAGATGTAATTATATACTTTGGGTTCTCAAGTGGTAGAAAATCTGGCTACCAAAAATGATCAACATTGGTTCATATTTGGGTATAGCTCCCATATAACGACACATTCCGATTTTCGATATTTTGGGGAATTTGGGTTCATTTTCCAACCGAATTGGCTGTAATTTTATATTTTGGATTCTCAGGGGGTAGAAAATCTTCCAATCAAAAATTAACAAGGTTGGTTCAATTTTAGGTATAGCCCCCATATAAAGATACCTTCCGATTTTCGAGAATTTGATGAATTTGGGTACATTTTCCAACCGAATTGGCTGTAATTAAATATATTTTGAGTTTTCATTGAGTACCACACATCCCTAACCAAAATTATCCATAATGGTTCTCTTTTAAGTATAGCCTTCATATAACGCCACATTCCGATTTTCGATATTTTAATGAATTTGGGTCAATTTTTCAACAGAATTGGTTGTGATTTGATAATTTGGGTTCTCATTGATTAGAAAATGTCCCTATCAAAAATTAACAATATTGGTTTACATTTTGGTATAGCCTCATATATAACTATACCTTCCGATTTTCGATATTTTGAGGAATTTGGGTACATTTTCCAACAGAATATGATGTAATTTAATATTACGGGTTCTCAATGGGTAGTAAATCTCCCTACCAAAAATTATCGACATTGGTTCACACTTCGGTATATAAATATACCTTCCGATTTTGATATTTTGATGTATATGGGGACATTTTCCTCCCGTTTTGGTTTCTCATTCTCTAATTCAAAAATCAAGAAGAATCGAAAAGGCAGATGATCTTCCCAATGAATCATTAAGATAAAAAATAGTTTATATCCATAGGGTAAGGTAATCACCCTATGTGTAGTGTAACTGCCATGCCGTCTATAACCTTTCTCTATTACCCTTTAAAAAATAATAATTCTATTAATGGCAAACAGAAGTTTCGTATTGCTATCTACTTGTTTATTGGCATATCAGTTTCTTCCACGGCATATGAGTCAGTCGGCAATTGACGACGACATGGCATGAAAGGCGGGCAGGCAGGTAGGTAGCAATAGAACATAGATAGGCTATCAGAGTTTTTAACATTTTTTAAAAGGAGTTTATTAAAAAAGAAAAAATGAGTGATGAAACATTTGCACTTAAAATTAATGGAATTTATAAATCACTAAACACAATCGATTTTTGTGGATTGATTTAGTATACCCTTGAACCGAACTATTGGCCCAAAAATAATGATAATGGAAATTTTTATACAAAAAAATATAACTTTAAAACCAAAAACCTTTTGTCTTAAGAAAAAACAAATATTTTTTCCAAGAACCAGGTTATCGTTTTGACATAGTTTAGCCTAATGGTCACTCTCGCGGAACGTGATATTCTTTTGGAATAAGCGTGCGCGAGCGACACCCTCAACAATATTATATAAAAAAAAATCTTCTTTTTTTGGTTGGTATTTTTCCAAATCTAGTTTTCATGTATGTTTATAAATTTTATTGTCTAATCAGAAACAATAAAAAATTAGAATATTCAAAATCCCTCTTATCAAAAGTTTTTAATCATATCTCGCGCACACTTCGCCTGTGGTCGAGATGATTACTCTATTTGTTCAATACTTGAGAAATAGGGTTCCGCGCGCGCTCTCTCTCTCCCTGTAAAGATTAGCTATGCGTTTATTTCATTTTTTTCCTGTTAGTATCGGTTTCTTCCAACACGAGTAGTTTCTTTTCCCCTTGGCCTTGACATTGTAGCCGTCGTTAGTCAAGCCTCAGTGTCAGTGACTTTTATATAATTTGTTTATATGTACTTGTTGTCGTTGCCGAATCGATTTAGTTGCTACTGTTTGCTGACAGACTGACTCTTGTTTATAAATAATGCAAAATTATTTAATTATTTACTGACGACAGACAAAATAAAACCAATTTTTAGAGAATTTATTTTTTGCATATTCATTCATGGATAGGGGTAGGTCAGGAAAAACGTAAAAATGACAGAAAGATGACAGAAGACAAAAAAATGCAAGGGGAAAAAATTAGAAATAATTCCACAATTAAAAGTCTCCTTTGGAAGGCAGAGACCTCACAGGGCTTTATGAAGACCAATTGATCACTACAGGAAGCACAGGATTTTATAAAGACTGTGTAGAGACTAAAACTTCACACACGTAAATCTGTTCTTATTTCGGTGGGCTGTTCGATATTTTGTTTAAATCGAAATATATATAGGGACATTATAGTGCACTATTTACCTAAAATCGGACGAAAATTTATATGGGAGCTATATCCGATCCGATTTCAACAAAACTTCTGTACTTAATTCAGTGCGGTGTGCACAATTTGGTAGCAATCGGACAAATTGTTAACGTTTGTGCCACCACTTATATAAAATCGGACGAAGATATATATGAGAGTTATATCTAAATCTGAACCGATTTCAACAAAGTTTCACATACGTCAATCTGCACTTAATCGAGTATGATGTGCAAAACTTTGTATCAATCGGACAAGTCATGGGAGCTTGGTGCACCATTTACCTAAAATCGGACGGAAATATATATGGGAGCTTTATCTAAATCTGAAACCATTTCAAAGAAACTTATCACACAACATTCTATACACAGTTCACTAGACTATGCAAAATTTCGTGTAAATCGAAATATATATAGGGACATTAGTGCACCACTTACCTAAAATCGGATGGAAATATATATGGGAGCTATATCTAAATCTGAACCGATTTCAACAAAACTTCACATACGTAAATCTGTTCCTAATTCAGTACGCTGTAGAAAATATTGTTTCTATCGGACAATATATATGGACATTAGTGCACCATTTACCTAAAATCGGATGAATATATAAATGGGAACTATATCTAAATCTGAACCGATTTGCCCCAATTTCAAATAGATGAGCTGTACAAAATTTCATCCATAAATGTGACCTGTACTTTGTTTAGAATTTAAAATTTCGTGAAAATCGAAAGTTATATAGGGACTAAAAATGCAAGGGGAAAAATTTGGAAATATTTCACCGATTAAGTCTCCCTTAGAAGATAGAGATCACAAAGGGTTTTTAATGACCAATTGGTCTGTATAGAGTCCAAAGGTCTTTATAAAGACCAATTGGTCTTTATTAAGACCATAGGTCTTTATAAAGACCTATGGTCTGTATAGAGACCATAGGTCTTATAAAGACCAATTGGTCTATATAGAGACCATAGGTCTTTATTAAGACCAATTGATCTTTATAGAGACCATAGGTCTTTATAGATGCCAATTGGTGTGTATAGAGACCAAAGGACTCTGTATAGGGACCATAGGTCTCTATAAAGACCAAATGGTCTGTTTAGAGACCAAAGGTCTTTATATAGACCAATTGGTCTGTATAGATACCATGGGTTTTATATAGACCAATTGGTCTGTATAGAGATCAAAGGTCTTTATATAGACCAATTGGTCTGTATAGAGACCAAAGGTCTTTATATAGACCAATTGGTCTGTATAGAGACCATAGGTTTTTATGAAGACCTGTTGGTGTGTATAGAGACCATTGGTCTCTATAAAGACCAGTTGGTCTGTGTAGAGACCATAGGTCTTTATATAGACCAATTGGTCTGTATAGAGGCCATAGGTCTTTATATAGACCAATTGGTCTGTATAGAGACCACAGGTCTTTAGAAAGACAAATTGGTCTGTATTGAGACCAAAGGTCATTATAAGACCAATTTGTCTTTCTAAAGATCACTGGACTTTATATAGACCAATTGGTCTGTATAGAGGCCATAGGTCTTTATAAAGACCAGTTGGTCTGTATAGAGACCAAAGGTCTTTATAAAGACCAGTTGGTCTGTATAGAGACCAAAGGTCTTTATATAGACCAATTGGTCTGTATAGAGACCAAAGTTCTTTATATAGACCAATTCGTCTGTATATATACCATGGGTTTTTATATAGACCAATTGGTCTGTATAGAGACCAAAGGCCTTTATTGGTCTGTATAGAGACCAAAGTTCATTATATTTATACGAGTTCTATTCCAAATAGTAAAGATTGTCCTCAGTGGGCAAATTTCAATTTTTAAAGCTCAAACCAATTATTATTATTTAATTACAATTAACACACTGAATCTGAACGTCATCACGATAGCCAATTGTTCGTAACCTAATTGAATGATCTTTATATTGATTAAACAAAAAAAAACTGTTAATTATAATTAAGGTTGCGATATGGTATATCATGGAATATTACTTACATGATATTGAAATACGGTATTCAATATATTTGCATCACCGGTAAAATTTTGTATACTTTGGCCCCAGAGATTGGCCGGCGACAGCACCAAACAATCATATTCCGGAAAAATTTGTTCGTTTTGTGGTCGCTTGACATTATCCACACGTAAACAGATTTTATCCAAAGTGCGTTGACTACAAAAAAAAAAAAAAACGAAAATGAAAATAAAAATAAAAATAAATATTAAAATTGTTAAGAGGAGAGAGGGGGAGACATACGGGAGGGGGGCATATAAATTAAAGTACAATAATATGAATGAATGAAACCGAACACCAACAACAACAAATACATGGAATATTAATAATAACAATACTAATATGAATAAATATAGACTTTGTATAAGCGACGAAAGCAGCAGCAACAAAAAAAAAAAAAGAAAAAAAATAAATAAAAATAAAACAGACATTTGTTTGCCTGCTTGTTTAAAATACGACACAATGAATGGCTGGATCAACACAATTAACTACACACGTTCGCTGCTAGTCATACAATTGAAATCGAGTTAATATAACAATAAATAATGGGCAGGCGGCAACTAACTAAACTAAACACAATTTAAATAAATTATAATAATAACAACAATAACACATGCAAAAAACGACACCCTCCCCCCAGAATCATTGTTCGGATTGGGAAGGTGATTGCAGGAGGTCTCTACTTACTTTTCAGCCGTTTCATGATTTCGCACAATTTCCAACAAACGAAATACTTCATAGAGTGGCGCTCGAAATGCATCCAATAACTGCATATCATCGGTCCAGGGTAGAACACTGGAACGCAACGTAATCTGTTGTACATAGAAGTAGGGAGAATTTTGCGCCCACGGTACATGCGGTTCATATGAAACATTATTCACATTGAAAATATTTTTGACAAGGGAATAATTCGATCGCTGTTCACCGCCACCGCCACCTTCACCAAATAGCGAATATTTACCCTCAAATGGTAAGACGATTTTTGTTGGTATTGTACCCGGCAGGGGGATGTTGATAAGGGGGTAACTGGAAAGAAAAGAAAATAAAAGAAAGAAGAAAATAAATTATTTAAATATAAAGACTTAAAAAGGAAGATAGAAACATAAATAAAAGGAAGTCCTTCCATAGAAGGGAATATCGTACCCTGTTGAAATTGGGGGAAATCGATTCAGATTTATATAAATAGTGCCCTAAAGCCCCTAGATAGCTTTCGATTTACACGAAATTTTGCAGAAAGACCTGATTTGAGTATAGAATGTCATGTGTTAAGTTTCATTGAAATCGATTCAGACTTAGATATAGATCCCATATATATTTTTGTCCGATTTTAGGTAAATGGCGCACCAAAGCCCCAATATATCATTCGATTTACACGAAATTTAGCATAGCGCACTAAATTGTGTCTAGAAACACGTATCTTAAATTTCATTGAAATCGCTCGAGATTTTGATATAGCTCCCATATAAAATTTCGTCCGATTTTAGGTAAATGGCGCACCAAAGCCCCAATATATCATTCGATTTACACGAAAATTTGTACAGAGTGCTGTTTTGTGTATAAAATGACATGTATTAAATTTCATTAAAATCGATTCAGGTTAAGATATAGCTCCCATATATATTTTCGTCCGATTTTAGAGAAATTGTGCACTAATGCCCCTATATATCTTTCGATTTACACGAAATTTTGCATATCATACTGAATTAAGTCTAGAATCACATATGTTAAATTTCATTGAAATCAGTTCAAAATAAGATATAGCTCCCTTATAACATTTCGTCGAATTTCAAGTAAATGATGCTCTAAAGACCCTATATATCTTTCGATTTACACGAAATTTTGCACAGCATACCGAATTTAGGTTAGAATCACCTGTATTAAGTTTCGTTGAAGTTGGTTCAGATTTAGATATAACTCCCATATACATTTTCGTCCGATTTTAGGTAAATGGTGCACCAAACTCCCAAAGTTTGTCCGATCGAGACAAATTTTGTACAGCGTACTGAATTAAGTACAGATTGACGTATGTGAAGTTTTCTTGAAATAGGTTCAGATTTAGGCATAGCTTCCATATGGTGTGTGGATTTCATGTATACATACCAATATGGTCTTAATAAAAATTGTGTAGTGTACAGACCAATTGGTCTGTGTGATAAGTTTTGTGAAATCGGTCTATACTGACCAATTGGTCGTTGTAACAACCTGTGGTTTCTATACAGACCAATTGGTATTAATAAAGACCTGTGGTGTCTATACTGACCAATTGATCGTTATAACAACCTGTGGTTTCTATGCAGACCAATTAGTCTTCATAAAGACCTGTGGTCTCTATACAGACCAAATGATCTTTATAAAGACCTGGGTGGTCTCTATACAGACCAATTGGTACTGAATTATAAATTGATATATGTGAAGTTTTATGAAATCGGAAAATTGAAACCTTTAATACTTATCAATAAAAAAAAAAACCTTTAGAAAAAATTGAATAGTAATTTAATGGTGATTTAATTCTTACACCATCACTACCTAACAACAACAACAACAATAAAGGAAGAACGAACAATTATTATACAATTTTAATAAATAATAATATTTTTTTATAAATTAATCTATGCATATGTGTCGCCGCTGTCGTATTTAGTCGCCTATCATATGGCAAATTGTGTGCCATATTCGACCTGGTGTATGAGACCTTAAATGGTGTATATAACTATTTCCGGTTCATTGTTGTTGAACTAATTCTTTGGCAATAGGAAAAACATTATTATGATAGAGATTATTTATTATTATTTGAATTATTAATTTAAATAATGATCTGAAAAAATTGAATAGTAATATTATGGTGATTTAATTCTTACACCATCACTAACAACAACAATAAAGGAATAACGAACAATTATTATACAATTTTAATAAATAATAATATTTTTTTTATATAAATTAATCTATGCATATGTGCCGCCGCTGTCGTATTTAGTCACCTATTATATGGCAAATTGTGTGCCATATTCGACCTGGTGTATGAGACCTTAAATGGTGTATATAACTATTTCCGGTTCATTGTTGTTGAACTATTTCTTTGGCAATAGGAAAAAAATTATTATGATAGAGATTATTTATTATTATTTGAATTATTAATTTAAATAAAAATGTAAGAAATTTGTCATTAGTTTTTCAATTTACAAAATTCCTTTCAATAGGGGAAGCCCAAAGAACGACCTATCAAATCCCTTTGAAATATATTTTAACCGAGATATTTTTCTACGCAAAAATATAGCTACAGTCTCCGCATATTGTTTTTTTTAATTTTGCAACACGCTTAGTTTCACCTTTGTTATAATTATTTACCTCCTCCTCCTCCATCCCATCTCATCCAGCAACCGATAAGAACGCAACAGCGATGCCAGGCTTGCTTGCTAGCCTGCCTATATGTAATTCGACTACCGCTCTTAACCTTCCCGCCCCATCACCTCCTCTTAGGGTTTCATAATAATAATAATAATAATAATAATAATGGCTACGTCAATTTCTATGATTATCATCAATAAGTTGCGTTGAAAGCATTTTCCTGCATGAGAGACGACGACAAACAGACAGGCAGACACACATACATACATATATACAAAATGCAAATTGACGTTTAGTGATTTGTTTGTATTTGGCAATTAATTAACATTATTGGTCAATGGAGGGCAGAAGAGGCAGGGAGGGAGGTAGGTAGGTATATATGTAGATAGGAAGAGAGATGTTTTATGATTTAATATATATATATATATATATATATATATATATAATGTGGTAATTTATTGGGTAAATAGTGGAGCCAATTATTTTTGAATGATTTCTATCTTTGTAGATATCAGAAAAATTTTATAGAGGAGGTCAATGAAATTTTGTCAGATAAATAAATGCAATGATTTTATGACCAAAGAAAAATGTATTTTAAAGACTTTTTATAATTTTTTATTTTATTTAGAAGTTTTGAAGGTATCTCAAAATGATAGAAGGCAAAGGCGTATTTTTTTTTTATGCGCCCATAACGTACCAGCAATATATTTTTAAAAATCTACGCATATTAGGAGAGCATGCAGAAGGCACACTCTCTCCCTTGGTGAGGGACGACGGAACGTACAACCTTGACACGTAACACATCTTCTGTCTGATTCCTATAGCCATCAACCTTTATTCCAATCTTACCTTTTTTATATATTTCTGTAACCTTAAAAAAAAACATACACTCCATGCTGAAATTTGAAAAATCTTCTCTCCCCTACAGATCTGTCCTTATCTCTTCTCGTGGATGATCGCAACGGAACTAAACGGTCTCAGTGGGCTGTAGCCACATAAGTGACTGCACATCACCAAACCTAACCTAACCCTACAACAAATGGAACCCCGTGGACAACCACTCTGCACATCCCTCCAGACGGAAGCAATGGCTCCCACGACACACCCGGAAATAACTCGTCCAAAGAATAATCTCCCTACACCCGACCTCTGACAACCTTGTGAGCACGCTGTCCCATAAGAGGGATGCGCCTTTAAAATCTACAAATATGACAAGGACATATTTGGAATTTGACCCGCTCAGGCTATCTTGCACATGCCGCCACGCATCCTCGGTAAACCGAACTGATACAAGGACGTACCTTCGCTGTAGCATTCCTTAAGCCGTGCCATCATAATCCTCTCCAGACTTATGCCCCGATACGAGCGAGGATCATTCGTTACCCGATCAGGCGACATAAGTAACACCACAACTTGGGCACACTCCCAAGTACGCGAGAAGTATCCATGAAGAATGCAGCTGGAGAAAATGGACTCGATATATTCCGGCATAACCTACCAGATGTTTTTCACCATCCTTCCAGTCATATCATCCATACCTGGCGATTTTCTACTTCTAACCCGGCAGATACTGTCCACAACTTCTATACGATCTAAACCCGGAGGCTACAGAAGACTTTGAAGATCTGGAAAAAACTTTTTAAACAATTCACACCTATATTAGGTTCTAGAAAAAATCCACACTTATGATATGATTCCACACTTATGATATGATTGATGAAACTCTTTTCTCCCTCTCCCATTTTATGAAACGAAGAATAGAAAAAAATGTTTGAATGCAATTTTTCTCACGCTGAAAATTATTCCACCCACCTCTCCATCATACAACATTTTCCCCCTCAAGGTTGAACATAAATTTTTAATATTTCACCCAGTAACCAAATGTGTTTCACAAAAGAAAAAATAAAGAAAAACAAAAAAAAAAAAACAAATTTTAAAACATACACAAAGAAAAATAAAAAAGACAACAAATATCAATCTTTAAATATTAATTTAGAAGAAAGCGTGCGGCGGCTTGTTGCTTCGTTGCTATTCGGCTATTAAAAAAGGCCAAAAGGTTACCATTTAACAGATTATTAATCTAAACGAAATGTGACACACGAACGAATGCACAATGTGAAGGCCTGCCTGGCTGGCTCGACGACCCAACGACCGAGGGAAGAAGATTGGCTCTCATCACTCTATATACAGTACAACAACAATAACTAAAAGTGGAAGAAGTCACCAAAAACAAAAACAGCAACAACAATCACATTTCATTTCTTGATTTAATTGACATAAATTAATTGAATATTTTATGAAGAGAATAGTAGTGACAAGCAGACGACAGTGGGATGGATGGACAGACGGAAGGCAGGGAAGTCATGGAAGCAACAACAGCAACAATGACCCTGTGTCTGGTGTGGTTGGTTCTCACACACATTTTTATTACACAAATATGTATATACATAGCTATAGAAGACGTATATAGTTAAAGAAGACATACAAAAAACGCATAAAGAAAATACATGAAAAGCAAAGCAAAGTGGCAACAAATCGGAATGCAGAAAAAAAAACCAAGCAAATCACAGTAAAAGAAAAAATACATTTTGCAGAAGTAAGAAAACACACAGCAAAAAAAAAACAAACATTTTAATGGCAAAAATGTGTGGCTGTGGTATGCAAACATAAGGAAACACACATACACACACTTATCATCATCTATATAAAAATAAATCAAGCGGGGGAAAATAGAATTTCCCGGATGAAATGTTGCAGAAAAAGTGGCATATTCGTTTCTCTGTAAAACCATCTTCAAAATAACTTCAAAATCCTCTTTAGGTTCTAGAAAAAATGTTTTTAAAAGATCCACGCCTATTTTACATTGTAGAAAAATATTTTTTGGAAATTCCACGCCTAATTTAGGTAAAAAAAATCCACGCTTTTAGTTAGACCATTCATACATCATCACAGATTATGTTTATAGTTATATATAGAAATTTTTCCCCATCGAAAAATATTATATATATATAAATATTTTTTTTATTTATAAAAATACCATATAAATGACGTATTCCAATAAGCACTGACGCATTTGCCGTGCATTTATTGATAATATAACAATTAATTATTTATAATTCATACATATATATATATTTAAATGTTGGAAAAAATATAATATACAAATATAGCAAAATAAAAAAAGAACTCCCCATCGATTAAATCTACACAACAAAAAAATTCAAAATTATTTTTTATCTATTGGAAATATTAATTTAATGGATTTTCTAGTCAAAGGAAGAAGAAAAATAAAAAAGAAGTAAAAATATCCTTTAATTTGGCCCTCCAACATGAGGTAGACATAATTATTCAAAATCTGTTCATTCTGAACCGACAATCTTCAAACCCAACAAAATTTCACAAAGGTCTATCTGTATTTCGTCACGTTTGTCCGAATGACACGAAATTTGGCATAGCGTACTGAAATAAGTACAGATTTACGTTGTTGTAGCAGTTTATATGAATTATATATTTAAATTTCATCTGGTTCTGTCTCCAAATTTAGAAATGCAGCTACCTCCACTGGCTGTAACCACAGATCTTCTGGAGTAAGATGAGTAGATTTGGCTGGGCAATTGAATAAATGCAGTGTGGTATGAGGGCCCGTACCACATGCTGGGCAGACATCCTGCACCTGGTCATCAATCCGTTCCCAATACGAATTGAGACGACTGCACCATCCTGAACGTAATTGGGCCAAAACTACTTGTCTGGGCAGCTAACGTTCTTTAGCTGTTAAGGGTGGGGGGTGAGCTCGAAGGACGGCATTCCTTCTGTACCCGTTCAGCGCTGCGGCTACAGCATCAGTATGAATGCTATTTAGACCTGCTCGATAGGCAACTTGATCTAGAGGCTCCCTGGGTGGGGGAGTCCCATCCACCATATGATGGTTGGGATGATTGTCCCTGAAACACCCGAGCATATACTGCAACGAAAGCATATTGCTATGCTGGCGTAAGGGATGGATCCTCGTCTCCTCATGAAGATGGTCCACTGGTGTCATGAGGAGGCACCCTGTTGAAGTCCTCAGGGCGGCGTTCTGACAGGTCTGAATACTTCATACGTACTGTCGAATGTGACCCCGAGTATTTTGGGGTAGTTGGTGGTCGGAATTGTATGCCCCCCGACCTGCACATTCAACGGCATTCTCATCTCCGCAGTCAATGTGGTGTATAATGTGGCTGACGACTTCGTGACGGATATTTTCATATTCCTCGCTTTAAAGAAGGCTGCTAATTCGACGAGATAGGCGTTCAACCTCACACATATGTCTTCAACAATGGGACCCGACCCCATGCTCGTACAATCATCTGCATATGTAACGATTTCTATGCCGTCCGGAGGGCATGGAATACCGGAAAGTTATAGGTTAAACAGTTCCGGAGAAATCTCTCCACCCTGGGGAACTCCCTGTTTAACTCTACGGGGTTTGGACTTCTTGTTCCGGAACTCCACGTACAACTGGCGTCCACACATATAGTTGATTTTCCAAACTCGGACGGAGAGAAGTGCTCTCAATGTCCTCAAATAGTGTGGCATGGTTGACAGTATCAAAGGCTATTGATAGGTCAAGCGCAACCAACTCTGTTCTATCGCACGGCCGGTTCTGGTTAAGTCTTCGATATATATGTTTGGAAAATTACAGATATATAATTAAAACATTGTGTGATTTTTTACTTTACTGCATTTTTTTGAAAATATTTTTACAAAAACTCTTTACTTTAGTTGAATTATGTAAACTAAGCACTGATAGAATCATTTACAGATAAACATTGCTGAAAAAAATCTGTAAAATCGATCAAAATTGCCAAAAATGTGTACAGTACACCTAACATTCAGAAAACACCCTTATTATAGAAAATAAAAGTCCGAATGCACAAGAAATTGCTAGAATTAGTAAAAAACAATTAATAATTCTCAAAATAAATAAATATTTGAAATAAAAACTCAAAAAAATGGGAATTAACCTAAAGGAGCGATTCAATTTCAATAGCCTTTACTAAAGAAGACCGGAATATTTTTGCAGTATATGAGAAAATATCGATTGATATCGGTATTTATTATATCAAATCGATTGTTCGAGTAGTACAGAATATATTTTATCAAAAAATATATTAGTCACAACAGAACGAACAGAGATCAAGGCCTATGTTGACGAGTAAAGGTTTCTAGCACACAGCAGCATGGTTGATGTTCAACAAAAGTCTTCAAATATTTGTCAAACTGTAAAATTTTTCCATCCTTGTTACTAAAATAGATTAAGTGGAAGTTATTCTCTTAATAAAATATTATTTTGGAAAAATATTGTCATGTTCAATAGATTTTAAGGGTCAAGAGTTGACAATCAACCATGCTGCTGTGTGCAAGAAACCTTTACTCGTCAACATAGGCGTTGATCTATGTTCGTTCTGTTGGGACTGATATATTTTTTGATAAAATATATTCTGTACTACTCGAACAATCGATTTGATACAAGAAATACCGATATCAATCGATATTTTCTCACATACTGCAAAAATATTCCGGTCTTCTTTAGTAAAGGCTATTGAAATTGAATCGCTCCTTTAGGTTAATTCCCATTTTTTTGAGTTTTTATTTCAAATATTTATTTATTTTGAGAATTATTAATTGTTTTTTACTAATTGTAGCAATTTCTTGTGCATTCGGACTTTTATTTTCTATAATAAGGGTGTTTTCTGAATGTTAGGTGTACTGTACACATTTTTGGCAATTTTGATCGATTTTACAGATTTTTTTCAGATATTTTTATCTGTAAATGATTCTATCAGTGCTTTATTTACATAATTCAACTAAATTAAAGAGCTTTTGTAAAAATATTTTCAAAAAAATGCAGTAAAGTAAAAAATCACACAATGTTTTAATTATATGGCCACTTCAAAGTCGATGTATTTTCATAAAAATCGTTATTTATGGAAAAATTGCATGTAATAATTTTCTATTTTCACACTAAATCTCTTAAGTGCAGTATATCGAAGTGTTCTGAATTAAAAAATTTTCAAAAATACTTCAAACGAATCGAGGGCTGATCAAACAATTTTTACCACAGTAAATGTTTTAATTCTGTGACCACCACTGTATATATATATATATATTTTCATCCGATTTTAAGTCAATAGTGCACCAAAGACCCAAAGATTGGTGGAGTGCAATAACATTCTGCACAGCGTACTGAATTAAGCACAGATTGACTTATGTGAAGTTTTGTTGAAATCCGTTCAGATTTCGATATAGCCCCCATATATATTTTCGTGCGATTTTATGTTAATGGTGCACCAAAAATACAAAGTTTATCCGATTGACACGAAATTTTGCACAGCGTACTTAATTAAGTACAGATTGATGTATGTGAAGTTTTGTTGAAATCGCTTCAGATTTAGACATAGCTCTCATGTATTGTTTGGTCCGATTTTATGTAAATGATGCACCAACGACCCAAAGTTTGGCCGACTGATACGAAATTTTGCACAGCGTACTGAAATAAGTACAGATTGACTTATGTGAAGTTTTGTTGACATCGTTTAAGATTTAGATATATCTCCCGTATATATTTTCGTCCGACTTGATATAAATGGTGCACCAAACATCCAATGTTTGTACAATTGAAACAAAATTTTTCACAGGATACCGAATTTAGTATAGTTTGATTTATCTGAAGTTTTGTTAAAATCGGTTAAGATTTAGATATAGCTCCCGTACATATTTTCGTCCGATTCTATGTAAATGGCGCACCAAACTCTCAAAATTTTGCACAAGGTATCGAAATTTCTTCAAAATAACATCCGGTAAGTTTGGATGAAATCGGTTCAGCTTTTGATATAGCTCCCAAATGCATATTCGGTCGATTTTACGTAAATGGTGCATCAAATACCCATTGTTTCCCTTTTTTTGCTAGTGTGGCTGCTTTTATATCGAGTTTCAAGTACACAAGTCTTGTCGGAATTGATATCTGCAAACTATTCCTCAAATTCCTTTAAATTTCTATTTTTCTAAAGTTCCATTCAAACTTCAGTCTCTTGAATCCTTAAATATTTTGCAATATCGTATTGGTCAACAAATCCCCTATCCCTTACCGAAATTAAATTAAAACAATAAATTAAAATAATACAACAACAATATTTTTTTACTTACCATGAAAATAATATTGCAACAATGGCTATACTTGTGGCACATGTGGGATAACTGGATAAAAAGAGACCATGTTTGTAATAGATATTTGAGACGGCACCGGGTAGGCCAGACGCTGCGGTTTTCTTTGACTTTTGTGTGGCATTTGATGATGAGGCTGATGGTGAGGTGTTGTTCGATGTGGCTGAGGCGGGAGATGATGACGTTGTTGAATAGGCGGCGGCGGCATCGCCACCACCACTTGTCGACGACGTCGATTTGGGGGCTGCACTTTTAATCGAAGAATTGCCGGTGGCATGTTCCGATATAGACATGGCGACAATGGATATGAAAGCAATTCGTATGCAAAAAAGGGAAAAACACGCGACAAACAATGGCAAAGGTTTGCGGTTGGAAATGTAGGCGTTTTCAGTGGTAGCGGTCAGGCGGGCAACACCAAAAAAAAACCAACCACTTTAAAATTCAATTCAAAAAAACACACCACACAATGTTTCGCTGCGTTTTCCGTTTTACTTTCAGAACGAAATGTTCTTTCGTTTCGCTTTTTTTTATAATACGTTCTTTTAGGTATTGGCAGATATTACAAACAACAGCAACAACAATAACACAACATTTATTTTGTAGTTAAATTTTTGTAATAAATACGTTGTTGAATACATAGAGATGGTTTGTTTGATTTAGCACTTGTTGTTGTTTTATTTTTCTTATGTTTTTTAAATTCAACGAATTTTTTATGAATCTTTCTTTTTGTATTTTTATGCGATTTTCTTTTCCTTTTTATTTTCTTTTGTGTATTTAGCACATTAATCACACTTTGAGTTTTACAGGTTGTCAAATAATTTGCGTCTCGTGGGTTTGTTTTGGTTTTTGCCTATTGTGGGTGGCTGGTATAGCGGTACTCTCTCTCTCTCTCTCTCTTGGTTTGTCACACAGTACATACGGTGTTTTAAATTCTCATTTAATCAATGGGAGCAGCTGAGCAGCAGCATTCATTTATTGTTGTTGTTTTTCTTGTAATTTGTAACAGTGTGGGTGGCTTGGGGCGGGGGAGGGAGAGTTGGCGTTTTGATCATCTGTATTTTGACACTTGTCGTAATGTTGTTATTATTTCTCACTTTTCACACAGGCATTTGTTTACCAATCATGTTTGCCATTTAAATTTCTTATTGGAAACAAATCACTTCCTCTGTTGCAGCTCTGCTGACGCACACTGCACTACTTTGAATAAGCAAGAACTTTTTTGCGCAAAGCCACAAAAATACGTCAGAAAACAACACAGAAAAAAATTAATTAGATGCGTTTGTTGCGTTGTTTTGTTTGTGTTCTGGCTATTATCACATAACAAATAAAAAAACACATTACTTCGGCAAAAGCCAAGAGACGCGCGCAATAGCCCCGATAATGCAATAAATTTATAAAAAAAAAATCACTATCAATTCATTTGAAAAGGAAAAAAGAAATTGATGTTTTTTTTTTGCTCACAAACACTTCCACTGAAGGGAAACTAGACTTTTGACCGCTAATCTTCTTGGTATGTATTTTTTTCTTTTGTTGTTGTTGCTTTTTGTCGCCTGAACTTTATGACTTCACTTTCATCACGGTATATTTACTTTGATTATTCACCAAACCAAAAAGCCCACACATCTTTGGGGAATTCTTTATCATTTTGTTAATTATTTTCTTTATTAAATCATTTAACATTTGCACGTTTTTACATCATACTCTCTTTTTTCTATATTTCTTTCTTTCTTGTTAGAAAACACAATTGTAACACGTATTTACTTTTCCAATGAATTTCATTGTTAGCTACTTTTTCCATAACATTTCAAATGCTTTATATTTTTATCATTTTTTTAAAATTTGTTGCCATAAAAATTCGCGATTATACATTTTCTCCGTTGTTTTTGCACAAAAGTATTGACAAGAAATAATAAAAAAAATATATTCTATACGATACGAATGCCAAAACGTTGACAGTCTGTCACTAGAGAGGAGAACGGCCAGAGTAAACACAATGGGCGGCGATAAACGTTTGGCGTATATACAACTTGGCTAGGGTTATTATAAATACATTAACAGGGGATTTATTAAATTATAATATAACAAAATGTTGTATTTATTTTCTAAAATAGATTTTTTTTAATTGAAAATTTATATTATTTCCATATAAATAAGAATAATAAATAGAAAATGTGTATGGCGGCGTCGTTGTGATCATAACCTAAACAAAAAGCGTTGAGCATATGTAAACAAAACAAAGCCGCCTTATAAGTTAACGGCGTAATGGAAACTTCAGCGTTTGCCGCTGTCAAAGGCTACAACACAACCAAAGCGGCCGTTGTCATGCCGCAATGGGAAGAAAAACACAATTTGCCTAAAAAAATGGGAAAATTACTTTTTACTTCGATTTAGAGCCTGCAATCAGAATATAAAACGTGTATAACATATTTTTATCTTTTTAAACGTAATTAAAATACTCTTTTGATATATAATCATACAGAACGAGGTAAAAAATCATTGAATAGAAAAAACAGCTGTTTTCTGACAAAATTTCTGCATTGGCATATGGAAGGTGTGGACAGTTAAAAAAAGGCAATGAGAAAAAAAACACAATTTGGCTTAAACAATTTAGGAAAATTAATTTGTACTTCGATTTAGAGCTTGCAATCGGTATAACACTTTTTAAACCTAACCAAAATACTCTTTTGGTATATAATATAGCAATATAGAACGATGTAAAAAACCTAAAAACAGCTGTTCTCTGTCAAAATTTCTGCATAGGCCGATAAATAAACAAATCAACGTAAAAGACTATAAAATCCAATCAAGTGGATTTCGTGTATTCAAACTCACTTTAATGTATTTAAGTATTGTATATGAAAATATCTAAATAGATGTGTTCCTTTGCCTTCCAGAATTGAACATTTTAATACATTTTGTAAAATGTAAAAGAAAAATATTTCCCTAATTGATATAAATAGGAAAACAGGCCATTACATTTGCCAAAAAATAATACGTTCACAGCTGATGTCGTCAACTGTCAAAGTGCGTAATTCCTACTTGAATTCGATATGCAATGTTGCCAACCATGTGAAATATTATAAGGAAAATTTTGACAGATGATCTTATTACATCATGATCTCAACCTTGGAGGACTTGTAATAGCGATTAATTTATAACGCCTTTTAACCTTCTTTCTTTGATGTCTACGGTTACTGACTAATTAATACATTACGTGTTTCTAAATAATGCAACTTGATTTCATATTCTTTATAATATATAATTCTGTTTCTTTATTATTGTTGTTCATTTTTATAATTATTATTTTTTAACACAAAATAAAATAAAACATTTAACATTATTTTTGTTTTTTTTTTCAAAATTATATTATAAATAGTTTTTATTTTTAGCTTCAATAGAAACCGTTGGTCAATATGCATTTCGATATAGATATACAATATTTTTCTGTTACAGAGCTACCAACATAATTTACAAAATGAACTTTATAGCGAATTCAAAAATTTTGCACCAATGAAATTGTTTATAATATATTTTATTTTTATTAAGATAATAATAATGAAAAATTATTTAAATTTCATATATATGTATATAAAACTATTAACTATTTTCAAACTACAAATTTTATTATTGCTTTAATAAGTTTTATTCTTATTATTTGTTATAAATAATTAGTTAAATATATAGAATTTGTTGTTTTTTTAAATATTATCTATATATGTATATTTATATAGTTAATATTGTGTATAAATATAATTAATTTTTGGTGTAAAAGTGATAGTTTTATTTCTTCATTCAACATTTTGTTTGGAAAAGTTCTAAAACTAACTCTCAAAGTGGGTAATTTCTACTTGAATTCGATGTGCAGTGTTGCCAACCATTTGAAATATTATATGGAAAAATTTGACAGATAATGGAGACAAAAACAAATTGCAGCTGGCATCTCTAGATAAGCTTATTAATAGGCCTTGGTCTAACATATTGTTAAGACAGGATAAATCACATAATTTATCACTTTTAGCAATCAGCGGAAAATTAAAAAAAAAAATCATATAATTTAATTTAATTCCTAATTGTTTACTTTATATGCAAATTAAGCTATTCACTTTTACACCATTTGCTAATTTGTAACTAATTGATTTCTATTATACATCAGGACAAATTATATCATTTACTTCATTTTTTTTTAATATTATAATGACAAATTTTGAAATTGAGCACAAGTTCCAAATTATTATTGTTAATTTAAGAAACTTTTATTTGAAAAATATTGGAATTATTCAGAAATATATATATATATATATATATATATATAATTGGTCTGTTCCCGTACTGCAAGAATCTACTAGTTTTTACTACGATAACGAATTTTCCTTTATGATATCGAAGAAAATAGTAAAATCGAGTAGATTCATGCAGTACGGGAACAGACCAAATATCAGTATCAGATGACAACCATTAAACAGAACAGCTGATTACACAAAATTGAACAGATCAGCTGATCAGAACAAGGCAGATTTAAAAAAGTTAACGAGCATAAGCAATTTATTATAACAAACAACAGTTGTAGTATAATTATATGCCTAAACAATTTTCCAAAAGTAAAATAAATCTTATGAATCAATTTTTTTACACAAATTCATTTAGAAAATATAATGAATTAAAATTCGAAGATTTTCATTCATTGTCTATTTTTACCAACAGCTGTGCGGATATGGCTACCTTATTAAATCTGCCTTGGATCAGTTGTCGGCATTGCTGACCCTAAATAAAAACAGTAAAATAGTAGAACTTATTGTCTATATTCTAAATATTATGTCACTTTAAAATCAAACTTTTATGTTATATGAATTAATTTACGTCCTAAATTACGTATTTTAAAAAAAATATGTCATGTATTTTTTATAAGTTTCCAAAAATTGACATGGATTTTTTTGAAAATGTTTGTTTTTTTATTTTTGAAGCGGAAAAAGGAAAACAATTATATACCATATTAGTCTTGTGTCTAGTTTATACGGATTGTTATGTACATTGAAGTAGGGCACTGCAGTTCGAGAAAAAACAAGAGCTATTTATAAGGTTTCCCAGGAAGATGAGCTGCATATCAGCTGATTCTCAAGTTTGCTGTCAAAGTGCACTATTGTGAATTGTCTTCCACTATGAAAACATAAACAAAGCCTAAATTTTGGATAATTAATTTGAGAAAAAACAGCTGTCTTTTTTGATGAAATATTATCAAAACAAAAACATCTGTTTTTTATTCAAATTTTATCTAGTAGTATTTTTCATGGTTGGCAACATTGCACGACGAATTCAAGTGTAAAAACCATGCTGCAATAATAAAGGGCTAAGCAGAATGCTCGCGATAAGCCATCCGTCGCGTTATATTTTATCGAAAATACAACAACCACATAGACCATCTGTAAATTTTTTCCTTAAAATATTTAACATGGTTGGCAACATTGCACATCGATTTCAAGTAGAAATTAGGCAATTTGGCAGTTAATCGAGACATCAGCTTCTCCAAATGGACTACCTATTTATTGTGCCATGGTAGAAACTATGCACTTTGACAGTTAATCGGATATTCAGCTGGGCTAAATTGAGTACCTATTCATTTGGTCATGAATATAAACAAAGAAAATGCCAACATAAATGAGAATTTACATAGAACACGTTCAGTGTAAATGCGCTCTAATCTTTACATTTAAATGACATTTATTCGATGCAAACTGTATAGAAATATATGTCAATTATACCAAAGATACCTACACATAATAAAACAATTTCAATTTCATTGACAGTTTCCTAATAAATATTGATTAACCATCTGTCAAATTTGATCTAGTAATATTTCTCATGGTTGGCAATATTGCACGTCGAATTCAAGTAGAAACTATGCACTTTGACACTTAATCGGACAGTCAGCTGCGCTAAATGGAGTACCAATTATTGTCCCATAAGTGAGGATTCGTATATACTGTATAGAAATATATGTCAAATATATTATGCCAAAGATACCAATATTATTAAGGATATCCTCACCATACTTCTGGACTATTGGTTCTAATAAAACATATAATTTATATTGTCAATATCAGTGGCATTTTTCCAACAAGTATTGGTACATGTGACATTGATGCTCGTCAAAAACAAATGCGTTCATGCATTAATTGTCAAAAAAATTAAAAATTGTCTTTGTGACGCAGGCGTCCAGACAATTTGAAAAATAATTCTGAAATCATGAATGAAAATAAAAATTATATTACAATACGAATATAATTTTTTATAACACAAACACTTGTTGGGTATATTTATGGCAGAAGAAGCCACACGTGTATAGTTGCTTTTTTGTTATTCACCACAAGCTGCCCTATCTTGTATTATTGTAACATGGTTCAATCCATTTCGGCCAACTTTTTTTTATATTTAAAATCATTTGTTTATTCTTTTGCTTTTAAATGTCATAAATTATCCAGGTTTACTGCCCATAGCTTAACATGGTTTATATATTTGCTATTGTCTACCAAAAAATCGTCTGTAAACACCAGGTTAGCATAGAGTTCCACATGGCAGTCCATTTAGCACAGCTGATGACTTGATTATCTTTCAAAGTGCGTAATTTCTACTTGAATTCGATGTGCAGTGTTTCCAACCATTTGAAATATTATAAGGAAAAATTGACAGATGGTCGAGATAACAACAAATGTATAATTCGTCGTGCAATGTTGCCAACCATGAGAAATATTACCAGATAATATTTGACAGATCGTCGAATAAGAAAACAGATGTTTTTATTTTACATCATATCCTATTTTGTATTTAATAAAAATGGCATGCTCTATTATCTCAATCCCCCATATAGAAATTATACACATTTACATCAAACAAGTTTTATAATAAATAACAATTTCGTTTATCATTTAAATTGTCATATCCCTAAAAAGAGTTGCCAACAATATTTTATAGGAAAAGAAAAGCGAAAAATAGTTCCAATCCTGTTAGAATACAATTCATTATCATCATCATATTATTATTATTATTAGTATTCACAATGTTTATTATTGTTATTATAACTTACTGTTCTTATATAGTTTATATCTTTTTGATAAATAATTATAATCACTTACATCACATTGGTTACATATGTGGTTCGAGTATGGCCCTATTGTATATGTATTTATGTATATCAATCAAGTAATCTGTTTCGGGTTGTTTTCTGTTTTAGATAAAAGTTGATTATACTGCTGATTTTAGAAAAGGAAACTACTATTAGGTTTATTATTAATAATATTATAATTATTATTGTTATTATCGGTTTCTCTTAAATACTAATCAATTTTGTTTGTAGGCATTCCATAATCTTTGACTTCATCTGCTTCTTTTTCTTCTTTTTGGGTAGCTTCTGGTGACATAACCATTTCCATGCCATCATCATCGTCATCCTGTTCGAGAACATAATCTATGTCTTCTTCTTCTGTTTCAGGTTGCGTTTGCGGTTGCTGTTGTTGCAGTGTTGCATTTTGTTGATGATCACAGTGTGTATGACAGCTATGACTACTACTGGGATAATTTGAATGATTACTACAGCTGTCATTTGAGGTGGATGTTGCACCAGCTGTTTTACGATGCTTTAACTGTGATGTGGCATCATTGCCATCACATTCTCCTCCATCCTTATGTAAATATAATTGATTATTTATAGTGGGCGGTTTATGTTGTTCTTTTTGTTGTAAATTCAGCTTAGCTGAATCTTCGAATGTTGCTGAATCGCTTAATGCCATTGTTTGTTTGCTTGTTAACTTTTCATATTGTTGTGGTTGTTGTTGTTGTTCTTTTTGGGTTTTTGCTTTCAGTTTGCATGACGTTTGTATACTAGCCGGTGTTGCAAACATATATACGGTTAATTTATTTAGAATGGGGCATAGAATTGACTCATGTATCACAGCAGCAATTCGATAATTTTGTCCTTGAAAAGGATCACTTTCGGCGGCGCAAAGCATATGATTTAGATTAATGCCAGTTTTCTGAAAAGAAACAAAAAGAAACAAATGTAAAAGCAATAACGATTAATTATTTTGACAGAAATCAGATGTTTTGTTAAGGTTATGTTTACACAGTCTAGTACTTAAAACTACAGATAAAATATCATTTATAATTTAAAATGATTTTTCCTTTGTAAATATGTCACTACAAAAATGAAAAACACGTTCGATTTAAATGCAGCATTTTTGAAATTTTAAATAACAAATTTTGATGTATTAAAATAAAAACATATGGTCTTCATTCGATATTCTGCAGAATTGTATCTGGTTGGCATAATTTCACTTCGAATTCAAGTAAAAACTATGCATTTTGACAGTTAATTAGGTAGTCAGCTGGGCTGAATGGAGTTCCTATTTATTGGTTGTATCCATGGCACAGTAAATTGTTAGTCCATTTAGCGCAGCTGATGACTTGATTAACTGTCAATATGCGTAGTTTTGACAGATGGTCGAGACAAAAGCAAAGGTTTTAGTTTTGATACATCACCTTAGTATTGCATCATGGTTGTATCATTGTAATTTTCTTTCAAAAATATCTTGTGTAAACCTCATGTTCGAATTAAGTGTAAAGGCGGGTACACACTATCAGTTAGGATAGTCATATTTTTTGGCGATTAGAGCCTGTCTTGATACACAATATCACTTTTGAATGACAGCTTCGACTTTCGCTTGCTGGGTGACCTTATTAATAAATCTTGGTGTGTACCATATTCTATTAATGTGATGTATCAAAACAAAAAACATCTGTTTTTATTCGACCTGCTGTCAAACTGTGTCTAGTAATATTTCTTATGGTTGGCAACATTGCACGTCGAATACAACATTGACAGTTAATCGGATAGTCAGCAGCGCTAAATGGAGTACCTATTTATTGACGCATGGTGTGTACTACGACGCAATAATAAGGTGATGTGTCAAAACAAAAACCTTTGTTTTTGTCTCTATCATCTGCCAAATGTTTCCTTATAATATTTCACATGGTTGGCAACATTGCACATCGAATTCAAGTAGAAATTACGCACTTTGACAGTTAATCAAGACATCGGCTGTTCTAAATTGACTACCTATTCATTGTGCCATGATGTGTACTTTATTTTAGAATAAAGTGTAAAAGCGGGTACACATTATCGGTTTGAACTGTTAGTTTTTTTCTAATCGATTACTGACTGTCCAACAACCATGAATATGTTCGTGTTTGCCTGATAAAAGGCGGAAATGAACGATCACACAATTAAACAAGCAAAATGTGGGCCAAACTGTCATTCAAAAGTGATAGTGTGTACCATGACACAATTAAGAGGTACTCCATTTAGCGCAGCAGTCAAAGTACATTGTTTAAGTATGAACTATATTCGGCGTGCAATGTTGCCAACCATAAGAAATATTACTAGATAAAATTTGACAGATGGTCGAAAATTTGACAGAATTTGATAAAAAGGCTGACTTTTTATCGCTTAAGAACCATAAATATAAATGTGGATGCTTGCAGAATGACAGACATGAGCGACCACAGCATTCAATAAACAAAATTTTGTCGAAAAAATTAAGTTTTTATTTTGATACCTCACCTTATTATTGCATCATGGTGTGTACATCCTTTTAGAATAAGGTATAAAGGCGGGTACACACTCAGTTGGGACAGTCACATTATTAAAAACTATCATTTTATGAGTAATAGTGTGTACACCATTTAAGTCGCAATAAAATATCCATATTTTCCTTTAAAAAAAACTAATAATTCATGACCTATACTTACCACAGAGAAATAATTTAATACACTAAAATGATACAACAACTGAAATTCCACACCAATTATTGACCAATTATAATCGTGTAAATCTTCAACCTGACACAGGCCCGAACGCAGAACATAAACGGGGATTATGTACAGCATAGCGTGTTGTATCCAATAGGTGGCCTGTTCAAAGGGCAGAGTGCGGCACTCCACTTCGGGGAAGAGAAATGCCAGAACTGGACCGTTCAGATTATTCATTTGTACACGAAACAGTGTCGTTGTTAGTTTGCTGGGTTTGGCTGCTAAAATATATATCTGGAAAAAGAAAAAAACAATTTTTTTTATTTTTTAATTATAAAAATTATTACAAATGGAATTTATGATTGAAAAAGAATGTTTGATATAAATTGCAATGGTTTTTTTTTTTGAAAAGTTGTGATTTATCACACACTTTTATTAAAACATAGTTGATGTAAATACGGCCTTTAATGGGAACACATTAAAATATGATGATTTAAATTGGATTTGTTGGATGTTAAAGATTCTGATTTTTTTTGGATTTTTGCCTGTAAAAAGGATCGATCATGAAACTGTCATTCAAAATTTATAGTATGTACGCCACTTAAATATAGGATAACACATTTTAATTATGAAAAGCATATGACATATACTCAATAGGAAAGGTAATCTAAATAAAGCTTCTTTATTAGATCACGTTTTTTACTATTCTCTTAAGGCACATTTACACTGAACATTTTTTTTTTTTGACATGTATGTCAAAGAAAATGCCAACTTAATCAACGGTTAAATTGTGGCAAATTATCAATAGGTACTCCATTTAGCGCAGCTGTCTATCGGATTAACTGTCAAAGTGCATATTGTCTACTTCATGGCACAATGAATATGTAGTCCATTTAGAACAGCTGATGTCTTGATCAAATGTCAAAGTGCGTAATTTCTACTTGAAGTCGATGTGCAATGTTTGCAACCATGTGAAATGTTATAAGGAAAAATTTGACAGATGGTCGAGACAAAAACAAATGTTTTTGTTTTGATACATCATCTTATTATTGCATCATGGTCTACTTGAACTCGACGTGCAATGTTGCCAATCATGAGAAATATTACTAGTGTTGGCTTTTTAGCGTCACTCTAACGAATGTCGTCTTCATTTATTTCATCATCTTTTCTGTTCTTTTCTCTTAACAGGGTTGCATTTTCGAAATTCAAACTAAGAGCACGTTTAGACTACTAAATCCTCTCGATTTCATATGTCAATTCCATAGCGTATACATCACATAAATCTTATTCAAAATCCAGCCCACCAGCTGACAATCCGATTATCTGTCAAAGTGCATAGTTTCTACCATGGTGCAATAATAAGGCGATGTATCATAACAAAAACATTTGTTTTTGTCTCGACCATCTGTCAAAATTTTCCTTATAATATTTCACATGGTTGGCAACACTTCGCATCGAATTCAAGTAGTAATTACCCACTTTAACAGTTAATCGAGACATCAGCTGCGCTAAATGGACTACCGATATATTGTCCCATGGTTTCTACTTTAATACGACGTGCAATGTTGCCTATAATTGAGCTGTTATATATGTGTAACACATATGAAAATGCAGGAAACATTCAATGAAGAAAGTTTTGCTTCCCAGCAGGCATTGTGGATTAAAGAAAAATTTTTTTGACTGTTGGGTGATTTTTAATATTAAATAATTTGAAATTCATATTGAAATCGAGTATTACGTTGGAATCAAATCAACTGGGATTTGCTGTTACCTTTTATAATTGTACCATGGCATTCTAATTAGATCAATTACTATTATCTTAAGGTACATTTACACTGAACATGTTTTTTTGATATGTATGTCAAAGAAAATGATAAACTACGGGTAAATTATGATTTAATATAGAATAATTTTCATGTAAATACTCTAAACTCAGAGCTTTCTTTGTCGTGTTTATAATAAAATAATTTAAATAAATATCATCATTTATATTATCAAATACATTTCAAATTAATTTATAAACAAATGTATCACGAGAATGATATACATATTTACATCAGGCGGATTTTTATAAATTCGAAATGTGACAAATAAAATCAAATAAAACACAATAATGTTTTAATATTAAGTTTACACATTGCAATTTATGTCACTGTCATTCTTCTATTTTTTTAAATGTTTCATTTTGTTGTTGTTGTTCTTCATACTTACTTGCACTATCGTTTGGATATGACATGGATTTAAGACAAATATCACAGATCTATTGGCTAGCTTAAAGCCCATCTCAATGCCAAATGTCATTGTCATTGTGAGCAAGAGTATTATTCGCATGCCACTATATGGTCGATTTATTTCTTTGGCATCTGGCAATTTTATGGGTTCCAAACGTTTAATCGCCCAGTACATGATGTAGGCAAATAATATGCAAAATAGTACCGCCTCGATAAAGCGTCGACGATTTGTCATATAATTTTCACATTCGGGACCCATAGTGCGTGGCACCTCATCGGTGACGCCACCAACAGCAAAATCCCAAACCATGTTAAAGATGTTGTTGAATATTTATTTTTTTTTTTGCGAATGCTGAGCAATTAGGGGGAGTTGGGGTTTTTCTTTTAATTTTTGAATAATAATAACAACTACATACAAGGAATACGATATCTGGTTCAATATATATATATATATATTTATGTCTTAGTTATACATATATAGTCTACGTTATTACTAAGAAAAGGCCTCCAGTTTTGTATGTTTTTTTGTATTTGTTCTTTTTTAATTTGATTTTTATGTTATGTTCTAGAAGGTAATCATGGTATTATTGTTGTGTCCTATAAAAGAAAAGAAGAAAAAGAAAAGATTTCATTAAATAAAACATATATATTTTTTTGAAAATTTTTATCAATTACAGAACATGTATCGTAGACCAATATAAACATAGTTTTCAAATTAGTTTAAACTCCATTGTAAATGTGCGTTTAGTCTACGAACTCTAAACGATTTCAAATGTCAATTCCATAACGTACATGTCATGTAAATCCTTATCATAATCTAGTGAATGAAAGATCTATGGTGTATACGCCATGGCACAATAAATAGGTACTCCATTTAGTCCACCAGCTGACAATCCGATTAACTGTCAAACTGCATAGTTTCTACCATGATGCAATAATAAGGTGATGTATACCAACAAAAACCTTTGTTTTTTTGTTTTTTGTCTCAATTATCTGTCAAATTCTTCCATATAATATTTCAAATGGTTGGCAACACTGCACATTGAATTCAAGTAGAAATGACCCACTTTGACAGTTAATCGAGACATCAGCTGCGCTAAATGGACTACCTATTCATTGTGCCATGGTTTCTACCATGGTGCAATAATAAGGTGTGTATCAAAAGAAAAACATTTTCACACAACAACATCACAACCAAAACCTTTGTTTTTGTCTCGACCATCTGTCAAATTTTTCTATATATTATTTCACATGGTTGGCAACGCTTCACTTCGAATTCAAGTAGAAATTACGCACTTTGGCAGTTAATCAAGACATCAGCTGCTCTAAATGGACTACCTGTTCATTGTGTCATGGTCTAGACCATCTGGCAATTTTTTCCTTATAATATTTTACATGGTTGGCAACACTGCGCATCGAATTCAAGTAGAAATTACCCACTTTGACAGTTAATCGAGGCATCAGCTGCGCTAAAAATGGTCTCCCTATTTATTGTCCCCATGGTTTCTACTTGAATTCGACGTGCAATGTTGCCAACCACGCGAAATATTACTAGACAAAATTTGACAGACGCGCGAATGAAAAACAAGTGTTTTTCGATTTGATACATAACCTTATTATTGCACCATGGTATACACTATGGAATTAACAAAGACCTGCTAGTAAATCAGAAAGATCAGCTGATTTTCAAGTTTGCTGTCAAAATCCTTTATTATGAACGCCTGCACATTATGAAAACGTAAAACAACCATCAAAATTTATCTTGAAAATAACAGCTGTTTTTCCGCTTTATGTGTGACCCTATAAAAAGGCCTTGTAATTGACATTTGAAATTGAGTGAATTTCGTAAATCTAAACGTATTTTAAGAAAAACGTGTACAGTATGTCAAGAATCCGTTTACACATAAATAAATTAGAAAATATCCCACATATGTGCCATTTGAGCTGGGGAACCCTCATCTATTCTTACAACATGACCTCGCCAACGCAGTCTCGCTGCAGCTCGATACGTCAGACTATGGTACAGCTCATGTCGGAGATTAGATGGCACACCTCATGGTTCATTTGACCGTCAATTTTTCTCTCAAACACTGAAAGAGCTGTCTTAAACGACGTTTAGATTTAACCGGATTTCGTTAACCCAGTGGGTTTCAATTGTCAATTCCTTTGCATATATGTCAAATATATCCTCATAAAGTAGGTTAACCCGGTAAAAAGTTCTAATGTATATGCCGTTTTAGTGGCTTCCCAAGTACCCATCCATATAACAGCACGGGTAATATCAGCGTCTTGTAAAGTGTGAGTTTGGTTTAGCGAGAGGTGGCATTGATTGGCCAACACTATCATTCACCGAATTTCAAAATTGATGCTTTAGTTTCATTTATAGCGGCACTGAGGTATATAAAATCTTTAACTACCTCGAAGTTGTAGTTCTCAAGTTCCACAATTGGTCCGAGTCTACTAGACTTCTTGCGGGTTGATACCATCACATTGGTCTTCTCGCCATTTACTGCCAGGCCCACTATGACAGACTCCTTCTCAATTTCTTCAAAGGTGACTGTTACCGCTTGCAATGTTCGGCCCATTATGTCGATGCCGTCGGCGCCACTTGTCTTCACATTTGTATCTCGTATGACCTTTTCCAACAGGATATTAATCAGGTCACACAACGAACTGTCACTATGTCTGAATACTCGTTCGGTATTGAAGGGCACCGAGAGGTCCTCTCCGAATTTAACTGCTGAACTTGTGCCAGTTAAAGTTATCCTGCATAGCTGTAGTAATTTTGCAGAAATGCCGAACCGGATAGGGCTGTCGAATGCGGGTTTACAGGGTGAGATGAAAAAAACTGCAACCAACTTCAGACTGCTGTCATTTCTAAGCCACTCGTCCGACAGCTGTTAAAAATATTATTGTTCACCAGCGTACAAAAGCATTTTGTTGAGAATTTTCCAGAAAAAAAAAGTTATTCGTAATGCAATCCAAGCGTCATAGTCAGATTTCTTTATATTTGGTTGGAAACCCACAAGTGACTATCGTTAGAGCACTCCAGCATTTAAATGTGAATAAATCCTTTGTGTCCCGTACCATCGCTCCTTACCGTGATACTGGTAGCGTAGTCCGGAAAATGGCATATCGCAATATTCCATTCGTCAAATATTGAAAAATGAGCTCGCGGTAAAGCCATTGAAATTCTAAAAAGTGCAAGAACTTACACCGCAACAGAAAGAAAATAGACTCAAAAGAGGTAATGAGTTGCTTCGCTTGGCCGAAAGTGGTGAACAGCCAAACATTCGTGGTCCAGCAGTTTGTAAACAAACAAAATGATCGCGTTTACTTGCCAAAGAAATCAGCTGAAAATATGCATCTTCGTTTGGCCCCCAGAACTCAAGTGCTGGCCATGGTGATGGTGTGGGCCACCATAACAGCCGATGGTCGCTCTCCGCTCGTATTAATCGACCGTGGCATCAGAATAGTTAGTTAGATTGAAAAGAGGGGTGGTTTACACCATCACATGTCCATTGTGGGACATACATTTAAGCCATAGGAGGTCTATTGTGCGCTCTAGGAAGGATAGGTATTTAGATTGAATTATTCTTAATTTTTTTTTGTCTGCCTATTCTTCTGGGAATTCTGTGTTCTTTCTGAAATCCTTTAGTATTTTCCATTCACACCCCCTTAGGTCATTTAGTTCAGGAACAGTGTCGATTTCCAAGAATTGGGTTCGGATGCATGCAAAAGCTGGGCAGTGGCATAGGAAATGTTCCAACGTTTCGTTGTTTTCCCCACACGCTCTGCACCTACTGCTTCCCAAACACCCAATCTTGTGTAAATGTGACTGCAGGTTCACAGGATGTCCTGTGAGAATGCCTTCCAGTCTGCTTAGTTCTTTCTTGTTTAGCGTAAGTATTTGCTTAGTCTTATCCTCATTTGGGTCTCCCCATAAGATTTTTGTGTTTTTTCCAGTCCTCTCGTTATTCCAGAGTGTTTTGTGCGTCTCTTTCGCCCATGACCTCTGAAGTGCTAAAAGGTTTTGCACTGTTCACATCTATTTTGCTTAGGTCGGTAGCACGTCTGGCGAGTTGGTTGGCTATCTCGTTTCCTATGACTCCTGAGTGACCCGGTGGTACCCAGATTATACGTACAAGACCCTGTCGTGAGAAATTGTTTATTGTTTTTATGCATTCCAATACAGTTTTTGATGTAACCGTTTTGGATGTTGCTGCATTAATAGCATGTTTACTATCTGTCATGATATTTATGTTATTATGCCCAGAGTTAGAGCTTAACCATCTTAGACACTCTGTTATGGCTTGAACCTCCGCCTGTGGGATCGTATTGTGATCTGGCAGGCGAAGTGAGATTCCAGTTTCCGGTTCGTCAATAAAAAGTCCCAGTTCCGTCTTTCCCGCTAGCCGGGAGCCATCCGTGTAACAACAGTTTCCCGGAGGCATATGTCCTAGTGTTCCGCTGTTCCTTGAGTCTCTGTCCGGTATCAGGATTTAACACAATGTGATTACTCTTGTTTCAGGTATTCGATCTGACTCAAAGTGGCTAATTGAGTATATGATTGTAGCATGTAGTATATTTTCGTGCGGTGTGTTGTGTGTGTCGGTGTCGATCCACTGGTTCATGGCATCAGAATAAATGCCAAATATTATCGAGGGTGGGCATATTCTGGAGGGTGGGCACGCAAACATTTTGGCCGCACACCTTGGACATTCCAACAGAACTCAGCACCGTCGCATACAGCATGCGCCACCCAAGAATTGTTTACAAAGTGAGGTTCCTCGCTTCATTTCACGCACAATGATCACCAAAATCTCCGGATACCAATCCGTTGGACTATTGTGTCTGGAGTATTTTGGAAAACAAGGTTGGCACTAAAAACGACCAAAGTGTCGATCACGGGAAAATGTCGGGAAATGTCGCAGTGGCCGAAAATGGCTCTTGAGCTGAACATATTGCAATATTCCATTCGGCAAATTTTGAAAATGAGCTCGAGGTAAAGCCATTGAAATTCAAAAAAGTGCAAGAACGTACACCGCAATAGAAAGAAAATAGACTCAAAAGAGGTAAAGAGTTGCTTCGCTTGGCCGAAAGTGTTGAACTGCCGAATTTAGTTTTCTCCGGCAGTTTGTAAACAAAATGATCTATACTTGCCAAAGAGTTCAGATGAAAATGTGCACCTTCGTTTGGCCACCAGAACTCAAGCGTAGGCAATGGTGTGGGACGTCATAACAGTCTATGGTCGCTCTCCGCTCGTATTAATCGACCGTGGCATCAGAATAAATGCCAAATATTATCGCGAAAAATATTCTGAAGGGTGTATTAAAGCCTTGGGCACGCAAACATTTTGGCCGCAGACCTTGGACATTCCACCATCGCACTTAGCACGCGCCACCCAAGAATTGTTTACAAAATGAGGTTCCTCGCTTCATTTGCAGCGCACAATGGCCACCAAAATCTCCGGATACCAATCCATGGGACTATTGTGTCTGCAGTATTTTGTAAAGCAAGGTTGACACTAAAAACTACCAAAGTGTCGATCACTTCAAGCAAGCGCTTCGCTGGGAATGGGCCTAAATACCGCAGAGTAACATTCAGGCAGCGTGTGACGGTTTCATTGGCCGTTTGAAGGCCAATGTGACCGATTCGAACAAATTTATATTCTAAAATTGTGATGCTATTTCCGAATTTTTTTTTGTTTTTATTCAATAAAATTAAAAAAAAAAAATGTAAAAATCATGGCGTTTAACTTTGTTGTAGTTTTTTTATCTCACCCTGTATAGTCGACGAATAGGTGGTATGTGTGAAAATCTGGTCAATGTTGGATTTGATATGGTCCAATCATGGCACAATGAAAAGGTAGTCCATTTAGCGCAACTGATGTCTTGATTAACTGTCAAAGTGGATAATTTCTACTTGAATTCGATGTGTAGTGTTGCCAACCATTTGAAATATTAAATGGAAACATTTGACAGATAATCGAGACAAAAACAAAGTTTTTTGTTTTGATACATCACCTTATTATTACATCATGGGTCCAATAATGTACGCTGGATAGCACCTTGGCACAATGAATAGGTAGTCCATTTAGAGCAGCTGATGTCGCGATTAACTGTCAAAGTGCGTAATTTCTACTTGAATTCGATGTGCAGTGTTGCCAATCATGTGAAATATGATATGGAAAAAATTGACAGATGATTGACATACTGTGCTATAATGAGCATACGCTCTGCAGAACTTCACATCAATTGATACTTTAATATTATCGAAATGTGACCATTAAATAAATAAAATATCAAACTTTTCCCCCCAACTAACAAAATTGTTATTATTTTTGGTGACCCAAAAAAAAAACGCCTTAATTTTTTCCTCTTAATTACAAACGAACACAATTAAGGAGTAGCGAAGGCTCCCAAAACAAATTGTGGTTATTCGTTTTTTTTTCTTTCTTTCAAAAAGCATTCCAAAGTCATTTACCATTTACAAGTTCAAACATTTGTTTTAAACGTAATTTGTAATAATTTTGGTTTTTTTTTTATCCACTACCGACAACAATTACGTGGTTAGAAACGCTGACACGCAATCCCGCCCCAAAGGAAAACGCAAGGAAGAGGAAGGGTATAAAAATCCAACAAAAGTCCAATAAAAAATCAATAGAATGTCAATTTAGTGTGTTTCTTTTTTAAGTAAAATATTATTTCAAATCTATAATAGGTGGTCACTTAACACACATACATATATCCCACTAATTACATATTGGGGGTTATGAACACAGTGTGAGAGACATAACATAACATAACCCATACACATGCAAGGGATTTTTGGAGGGAAAATTTTTGTTCTGTTTAAATGGCAATGACAGCGAAATGTTCTGCTTTGTTTTTCTTCTGTCTTATCCGCAAATGCAATGTGACAGAATATGACGCTTGTCTATTGTGGGTATGGATGTATAGGGTGAGATAAAAAACCACTGCAACAAAGTCAAACGCCATATTTTTAACAAGATTTTTTAATTTTATTGAATGAAAGCAAATAATTTCGGAAATTGCTTCAAATTTTAGAAGAAGTATAGATTTGTTCGAATTGGTCACCTTTGGCACGAATTATGACCTTCAAACGGTCAATAAAACCGTTACAGGCTGCCCGAATGTTGCTCTGCGGTATTTTGGCCCATTCCCGGAGAAGCGCTTGCTTGAGGTGATCGACACTTTGGTATTTTTAGTGGCAACCTTGCTTTCCAAAATACTCCAGACACAATAGTCCAACGGATTGGTATCCAGAGATTTTGGTGGCCATTGTGTGCTGGAAATGAAGTGAGGAACCTCATTTGGTAAACAATTCTTGGCTGGCGCGTGCTGAGTCCTGTTGAAAGGTACAAGGTCTGCGGCCAAAATGTTTGCATGCCCAAGGCTTTAATACACCCTCCAGAATATTTTCACTCTGCGCCAAATACTGGAAAAGACCCATGAAAAACACATCGACACATACCACCTGTTCGTCGTCTATAAAGCCGCATTCGACAGCCCTATCCGTTCAGAGGTGTTTTGAAGTAATGCCTGTTTTCGGCATTCCTGCATAATTAATACGGCTATGCAGGATAATTTTAAGTGGCACAAGGTCAGCAGTTAAAATCGGAAAGGATCTATCGGAGGCCTTCAGTACCGAACGAGGATTCAGACAAGGTGGCAGTTTGTCGTGTAATCTTTTTAACATCCTGCTGGAAAAAGATCTCGTACACAAAAAGGAGGCAAGACGACGATATGCGTCAACTATAGGAGAATAAGTCTGCTTCCCATCGCATATAAAGTGCGAGTCCAGCGACTGAAACCAATGTTCAATGACATTATTGGACCACACCAATGCAGCTGCAGACCTGGCAAATGCACCATTGACCAGATTTTCACACTACGCTGGAAATCCTGGAAAAGACCCACGAAAAACATATCGACACATACCACCTATTCGTCGACTATAAAGCCGCATTCGACAGCCCTATCCGTTCAGAGGTGTTTAAAGTCATATATGCGTTCGGCATTCCTGCATAATTAATACAGCTATGCAGGATAACTTTAAGTGGCACAAGGTCAGCAGTTAAAATCGGAAAGGACCTATCGCAGCCCTTCAATACCGAACGAGGATTCAGACTAGGTAACAGTTTGTCGTGTGATCTTTTTAACATCCTACTGGTAAAGGTCATACGAGAGGCAAATGTGAACAGAAATGATACCCTGTACACCAAACAACACATGTTACTCGCCTACTCCAATGACATCGATATAATGGGTCGAACATTGCGAGCGATAACAGCCACCTTTGAACAAATTGAGAAGGAGTCTGCCAAAGTGGGTCTGGCAGTAAAAGGTGAGAAGATGAAGCTGATGGTATCAACGCGCAAGACGTCCAATAGACTCGGACCAACTGTGGAACTTGAGAAGTACATGACATCGATATAATGGGTCGAACATTGAGAGCGGTAACAACCACCTTTGAACAAATTGAGAAGGAGTCTGCCAAAGTGGGTCTGGCGGTAAATGGCGAGAAGATCAAGCTGATGGTATCAATGCGCAAGACGTCCCATAGACTCGGACCAACTGTGGAACTTGAGAACTACAGCTTCGAGGTCGTTAAAGATTTTATATACCTTGGTACCGCCATAAATGAAACGAATGACTTCAGTTTTGAAATTCGGAGAAGAAGAGTGATGGCCAACAGATGTTTACTATGGTCTTAGTAAGCAATTTAGAAACAAGGCCACCTCCCGCCAGACCAAACTCACACATGACAAGACGCTGATACTACCGGTCCTGTTATACGAATTTGAAGCATGGGTATTTGCGCAAGCAGATGAGGCAGCTTTTGGGGTGTTTGAGAGAAGAATTCTCCGAAAGATCTATGGGCCGATCTGCGTCGACGATGAATATTGGCATCGAATGAACCACGAGCTTTACATTCCATATGCGAATATAATACATTCCATCGTATTGAGCTGCAGCGACTACGGTGGCTAAGCCATGTTGTGCGGATGAATGAGAATGCCCCAGCTCAAAAGGCTTATAAAAGCGAGTCTACTTCATTCAGAAGGGGAAGACCACGAATTAGATGGAAAGTTCAAGTAGAAGCCAATATCTTGGAACGTGGTGTTTCAAATTGGACGAGTTACGCTCAAGACCGACGCGCTCGGAAATCTTCTTTTAAGGTCGGCTTATGGAACAACCTGTAAGAAGCCTGCTAAGTAAGTAACAATATTTTCATGATAATGTTCGGCATTTATTCTGATGCCAAGGTCGATTAATACTAGCGGATAGTGGCCATCGGCTGTTATGGCGGCCCATAGCATAACTATGGTCGGCGCTTGAGTTCTGTTGGCCAACCGAAGGTGCACATTTTCAGCTGACCTCTTTGGCAAGTAAACACGATCATTTTGTTTGTTTACAAACTGCTGGACAACGAATGTTTTCTCATCGCAGAAAACCGACAAAATCGACAGTTCACCACTTTCAGCCAAGCAAAGCAACTCTTTAGCTCTTTTGAGTCAATTTTCTTTCTGTTGCAGTGTATGTTCTTGCACTTTTTGGAATTTCAATGACTTTACCTCGAGCTCATTTTTCAATATTTGCCGAATGGAATATTGCGATATGTTCAGCTCACGGGCCATTTTTCGGCCACTACGAAGCTTCGATTTCAATCAAGTCGCTTCTTTACTTTCCGAACTATTTCTGCTGATGTTGCTGTTTTCTTCCGTCCATTTCGTTGACATCGGGCTACGCTACCAGTATCATGGTAACGAGCGATGGTACGAGACACAAAAAATGCATTCACATTTAAATGCTGGAGTGCTATAACGATAGCCACTTGTGGGTTTCCAGCCAAATATAAAGAAATCACGCTTGAATTCCATCACGAACAACAACTTTTTTCTGGAAAATTCTCACCAAAATGTTTTTGTACGCTTGTAAACAATATAGCTGTCACTGGAAACAATTTTAACAGCTGTCAGACGAGTGGCTTATAAATGACAGCAGTCTGAAGTTGGTTGCAGTTTTTTCATCTCACCCTGTATGTATGTCGGATAAACACAAATAGTTGGAAAAATAATAATCAACTCACGTGTTTTTTATTTGCTTCATTAAAATGCCAAAAAGAGAGGGAGAGAGAAAGAGTGATACAAAGAGCCCACAAACAATTTAAGCTCTTAAAAGCTTTCTGATGGTGTAACGCTCTTTAAAAAATGTTGGGGTAGTTTGTAAACCATGGAGTGACAGAGAGAGAGAGAGAGAGCGGTGTTAAGGGAGAGTAAACATGTGATTTGTAGAGTATTTTTCACTGACACATGTTGTCTGTGGAGACTTAAATTCCGGTAGTATTTTTTTGTTTTCTTTATTATTTTTTTCTTCTTAACAGGAAAACTCAAATGAGCATATCAAATCAAATGCCAGTTGAATGTAATAAGAGATTTTGTGTAAATGCACACACACACACAGATTTATACTATCAAATTTTTATTACAGTTACAAGTTTTCTCTCTGTACAGGTATATTTGGCAGCCAGTTAACGCGTGTTTGCTATACGACAAAAAAAGAAATCTAAAATGTCAACCTTTTTAATTCTGAGGGGCGGTAAAGAGTGATGAAATTCTATGGCTTGGAGGAGTATCGAAATACCATTTAATGTCAATATATATATGGAGGATATATTCGTTAGAATCAGTATGTTTTGAATGAATAATTGAATAAGAAAATTTGTAAAACACCCAACTAATATTGGTCGCCACTTTGGCGGAAAATTAGAAAATCATATTGAAACAATGGCAAAATGGTTCTCACAGGACTTTTTGTATGAATAGTTACAGTGTATGGACAAATAAATCGCAATATAAAAGGACGATCTTATGACTAGCAGATGAACTAAATATTCTCTATCTTGCTGCAGGCTGCAAACTGACATTGGGCGCCACTTAGTGTTCAAATAGTAAAAAATAATAAAAATGTTGAAACCTACAGTTTTATGATCGTCATGTTCAGCGAACTTTATTCTACAGGGTGAGATGAAAAAACTGCAAGCAAAAAATGGCTCGTTTGCTGAACATATCGCAATATTCCATTCGGCAAATATTGAAAAATTAGCTCGGGGTAAAACCATTGAAATTCCAAAAAGTGCAAGAATTTACACCGCAACAGAAAGAAAATAGACTCAAAAGAGCTAAAGAGTTGCTTCGCTTGGGCGAAAGTGATGAACTGCCGAATTTGGTTTTCTCCAATGAGAAAACATTCGTTGTCCAGCAGTTTGTAAACAAACAAAATGATCGTGTTTACTTGCCAAAGAGGTCAGCTGAAAATTTGCACCTTCGGTTGGCCACTAGAACTGAAGCGCCGGCCATGGTGATGGTGTGGGACGCCATAAAAGCCAATGGTCGCTCTCCGCTCGCATTAATCGACCGTGGCCATCAGAATAAATGCCGAATATTATCGCAAAAAGGGTATATTGAAGCCTTGGGTACGCAAAAATTTTACCCGTAGACCTAGGAAATTTGTTGCTAAAAATTCGTTGGACTATTTCGACTGGAATATTTTGGAAAACAAGGTTGACAAGCGCTTCGCCGGGAATGGGCCAAAATACCGCAGAGCAACATTCGGCCAGCGTGTGACGGTTTCATTGGCCGTTTGAAGCCCATAATTCATTCCAAAGGTGACCAATTCGAACAAATCTAAAATTATTCTAAAATTGGATGATATTTACAATATTTTTTGCTTTACTTCAATAAAATTTTAAAAAATTTAAAAAATGTGGCTTTTGACCTTGTGGCAGTTTTTTTACCTCACCCTGTAGAAATCCTGGTCAGGTCAAACACAGATCGCATGAGGAGTTTTGCTTGTTGCGGCTATAAATAAAGATGAAGATGGAAATCTGGTGACAGATACAAATACAGCGTGTTGAAGATCTGGAAGGAAGATTTTGCAATTTTGCTTCTGGTAATAAATTGTGGCGATGAAGAAGATACCCCAGAACCAATAAGAGATGACGGTAGAGATTGTATACCACCTAGCCAAGATGAGGTCAGAATAGCAATTAATCAATTGATAATAAGAAAGCAGCAGGTGTCCATAGATTACCAGCCGAACAATTCAAGACCGATGACCAGTATCTGACACTGGTCAGGAGCTTGCACCAGCTGATTAGTACAATTTGGCTATAGGAATGCATGCATGGCCAATGATTGGAACATAAGCATCCTGTGTCCTGTGCACCAATAAGAAAAGAACAAAATATATGCCAACTATATGTCTCCTTCCCATCGCGTATCAAGTGTTATCCAGCGTACTGTGAGAATGACTGAAGCCAATGGTCAATGACATTATTGGACCAGATCAATGCGCCTTCACATCTGGCAAATCCACCATTAAACAGAGTTTCACTATGCGGCATGTCTGCATTGGGCATTCCTGCAAAATTAATACGGTTATGCAGGATAACTTTAACTGGCAGAAGGTCAGCAGTTAATGTCAGAAAGGACCTTTAGGAGTCCTTCAGTACCGAACGAGGATTCAGGCAAGACGACTGAAGCCAATGGTCAATGAAATTATTGGATCATACCAATGCGACTTCAGATCTGGCAAATCCACCATTGACCAGATTTTCACTCTGCGCCAAACGCTGCAAAAGACCCACGAAAAACACATCGACACATTCCACCTATTCGTGGACTATAAAGCCGCATTTGACAGCCCTAACTGATCATAGGTGTTTTGAAGTCATGACTGCGTTCGGTATTCCAGCAAAATTAATACGGCTATGCAGGATAACTTTAACTGACATAAGGTCAGCAGTTAAGGTCGGTAAGGACTTCTCGGAGCTCCTTAATACCGAATGTGGATTCAGACAAGGTGACAGTTTGCCGTGTGACCTTTTTAACATTCTGCTGGAAAAGATCATACGGGAGACAAAGTTGAACAGAAATGACACTCTGTACACCAAACAGCATATGTTACTCGCCTAAGCCGATGACATAGATATTATGGTTAGAACATTGCGAGCGGTAACATCCACCTTTGAACAAATTGAGAATGAGTCTGCCAAAGTGGGTCTGGCGAGAAGACCAACTGATGGTATCATGCGTGAGACGCCCATTAGACTCGAACCAAATGTGGAACTTGAGAACTACATCTTCGAGGTAGTCAAGGATTTTATATACCTTGGTACCGCCATAAATAAAACGAATGACATCAGTTTTGAAATTCGGAGAAGGATAGTGATGGCCAACCGATGTTACTATGGTCTGAGTAAACAACTCAAAAGAAATGCCACCTCCCGCCAGACCAAACTCACACTTTACAAGACGCTGATACTACCCGTGCTATTATATGGATCAGAAGCATGGGTACTTGCGCAAGCAGATGAGGCAGCTCTTGGGGCGTTTGAGAGAAAATTTCTCCGAAAGATCTACGGGCCGATCTGCGTCGACGGTGAATATCGGCGTCGAATGAACTACGAGCTTTACAATTTATACGCGGAAATCGACATAGTCAGACGTATTGAGCTGCAGCGACTACGGTGGCTAGGCCATGTTGTGCGGATGAATGAAAATGTCCCAGCTCAAAAGGCATATAAAAATGAGCCTACTGATGGTTCTCGTAGAAGGAGAAGGCCACGAATTAGATGGAAAGACCAAGTAGAAAACAACATCTTGGAACGTGGTATTCCAAATTGGTGGACTTGCTCACAAGACCGACGCGCTTGGAAATCTTTTTTTAAGCTCGGCTTATGGAACAACCGTTCTGTAACAAGCCAGCTAAGAAGAAGAAGAATAGTAATGGCCAACCGATCTGAGCTATGGTCTGAGCAAACAACTCAACAGAAAGGCCATCTCCCGCCAGACCAAACTCTCACTCTACAAGACGCTGATACTACCCATGCTGTTATATGGACCTAAAGCATGGGTACTTGCGCAAGCAGCTAAGCCAGCGCTTGAAGTTTTTGGGAAAAAAGATCTCCAAAAGATCTATAGGCCGATCTGCGTGTGAAGCTGAATATCGGACATAGACATAGTCAGACGATCGAACTGCAACGACTACGTTGGTTAGGTTATGTTGTGAGAATGGAGGAGTATGCCCCAGCACAAAATGCATATAAAAGCGAACCAGCTGATGGTTCACGCAGAAAGGAAAGGTCACGAATGCGATGGAAAGATCAAGTGGAAGACAACATATCGGAACAGGGTCTTTCAAATTGCAAGAGATGCATACAAGACCGACGCGCTTGGAAATCTTTTTTAAGCTCGGCTTATGAAGCAAATATTCTGTCACATGCCAGCTAAGTAAGTAATAACGTTGGGCGCCATTTATTTATGTATATTAGTTATTAGGTATTTTTATAATAATAGCAACTAAAACATATGCTATAATTTCGTAGTACAACTGTATAACACAAAGTGATTAATAATTGTTTTATTACAACAACGCTGCCAATACAAGTGTGTGCCACTTGATTGTGTTAAACAGAAACCAAGAGCTTCGGGCACATATACACTCTCACAGAAATATAATTCGGATTTTTTTCGCACCATGAAAATCACACAAACATACATATTTACATACATAGTATAAGCATTTGTTACATTAAACAAGTACCCAAGATAAAGAGAGAGTGCGAGATAGAGAGAGAGAGGGAGAGCAAGTT